AGTCCGCACTTTGAGCCTCTGAGGCCCACCTACACACTGTACCAAACTGCACTATTTTACAGGTGAGGAGACTGAGGATTGGAGAGGCCCAATAACTGACCCGAGGACACTCATATCATAAATGGCCAAGGTGGCATTCCATCTCGGTTCTCCCTCTTCCTCTTTCCATCATAGTGATTAGTGAGTGGGGGGTGGAGGGGAGCCCCTCCCAGACACCCAAGGAAAAGTACACAGGGACAAGCACATTTCAGCCATTTAGAGTTGGTTCTCCTCATCTACACTGTGTTACTCATGTAATTAGAGGAAGACTCGGAGCTGGGGGTGTTGCTGGCTTTCCTCGTGGACCCAAGTTTTAGATAATATCTTTTGCCTTTAGTCAGGTGGAAAGCAGAGGCTATCTGACAGGCATCCGCATATGCTTAGAAATATCCCGAGGACTGACCACAGTGTTCGGTTCTGAACCAAAAGTTTTGGTCTAATTTGTCTTAGAGGACGATCATTGATTAGGAGGTGAGTAGAGGGTGAAAAGGAGAGAAAAATTCTTAGCCAATTGTTGGTTGAAACTTGAAATAAAGGTGGAGAACAATGTCAATACTGTTACTATTAACATCTAACTGAACAATTGTCTTTTTGTGGAATTTGCTAATTTGGAGATCATTGGCCTATTTCTTTATGGCCAGAGGGAAAAGTCAGGAATAGAGAGAGGGGCACTGGGGAGGGAAGTGACTTTTCAGCTGCATGTCCATTTCTTAGGAGCCAACCTTGAGGAGCACTGGGGAAAGGAGAGGTTTCTGGGAGGGGTGGGGCAGCTGGTGCAAAGACCCTGTGAAGCTGGCAGATTCGTCTTCACTGGGCTTCACCCATTCCTCTCTTCATTCTTCTCTTTTCTAAGAAACATACTCCCAGGGGCATGTTTTATCTTTACTGATCTTGCTCATTAGCCAACACTGGACAAGAATGTTCCTGCCCCTTTTTATATGCTGCCTTAACAGTGTTTACCAGGGGAGTTTATTGTTGGGATACAGGGACATAGGCATACTTCACAGCGCCCAAGGGCAAGTGTGCTTTGGCACCAGCAGGAACTTGGTCCCAAACCCAAAAGCCATTATGTTGAGGGAGGCATAGACCCTCTCTATTTCTGCCTTTTGTCTCTGTTTCTCTTCATGAAGCTGCCTAACTTTTCACCTCTACAGATTACCTTTGTATTCCTCTGAATATGTGATCAATGAGGTCCATGAAATCCTGGTTTCTGTCACCTCAGTGCCAGGAACACCACTCACTGGCCATCTCTGACTGTCGTTTCCAAACATGGGGCAAAAATGTTTGACTAATCCAACTCAGTCAAGGGTTCACCTCTGCGCAGAGAATGTTGATTTTAGATTGTTGATTTTGAATAGGGAGAAAGGGATTTGTTATGAGCTAAGCAGGTAGTCTCCAAAGGCTCCCTGTGGCTTTCCATGTCGTGTTGTAGCTCCTCGTATCTTGACTTCCAAATTTTCTAAACTACACTTATTTCCTTGTTCCATGTTGACTGTACTGACTCCCATTACTTCGAAAATAATAACAAATGTGTTCTCTGCTTTCCCCAGACCCAATTTCACAACTCTTTTGTCCTGCAGGGGGGGAAGGGGGGGTAACATTGCTCTTTTATCCATCCCCTTCCAGTCTTCCTGCTTCTGGATTAAGGGGCAGGAAAGAAGGATGAATTATTCCTATGCGATCAAGTACAGTATATATATATTTTTAAATAGAAGTGAAAAAAACTAGGCTTCTTTTAGGATTCAATTAAACATCTGTTTTTTTTTTCCTCCTGTATCGTAGAGATCATCCAATTCACTCTATTATCAATCAGCTATGTTAAGTGACTTCCCTGGAATCACACATTTGTGACAGAACTCTCTATACAGCGGGGTTTTGGCTGTAATTGCCTGCCTCCCACCCCAGTGTGTCAGGGACCAAGGCACAGAATAACGAAAGTACATAGCAGGCATCTCACCCAGCCTGTGTCTCAGCTCAGAGCGGACGGACTTTACAGATGGGATCAGTCTGGCATGAGCATAGCATTGAACGATGTTTCAAGGGGGCAGGACCCTGGATGACCAGGTCATAGCAGATGGTCTCAGTCTAAATATTTCTGCATTCTGGAGAAGCCTTGCTCACCAGAAAGTCCAGTGTTGGCGTTCAGACTGCTGCCCACCTTTAGGGCACAATGAACTCTATTCTGCTGGAAGAGCTGCTCCATCACAGAAGTGGGATCCTTCTGAGAAATCACAAGCAAATATTAATTCATTCATATAAAAGAAGATGCGCAGACATGGTGTGACTTTGAGCCAGTACTCAACTGATTCTGGGTCTCCGTTATCAAATAAAATTGTTGGATAAGAACTGAGTGACTTCTGTGACTGCTCACAGCTCTAAAATCCCGTGATTCCACAGTAAGTAAACAGAAATAACAGGAGAAATTTATCAGACGACAAACACAAATGGTTAGATATTAAGTCCTTAGACTAAATGCAACTTTTAAAAATCCAGGCATTAAAAAAAACCCAACCAATTAATGGCTTAAGAATTTTAAGAAAATGCTCTTATAACCACTGCATAAAGGATAAAGCAGCATCAGATAAATTGTTTTTACAATTATGAAAATAAAACTCTCCATATTAAATTTTTAGGGCACAGCCAAGTGAAGTGATTCCCCTCTGCATCTTATAAAGCTCTTAAACAAGGATCACTTCATGGTAACAATTCCTGTTCTGGAGCAGATAAATACCCATTTTATAAATGAAGACACTGGAATTCAAAGAAAAGGGTCTTAAGCAAAATAATTTGATAACATGCCTGCAAAACCATAAAATAAGGTTTCAAGATGTGGAAAAAAGTGAATTTTTTTGAAATTAAGAGAAGCTTTATTTTATCCAATGATACTTTTGTTTCAATTTTTAAAAAAGAGGTTAATGGCCGGGCGCGGTGGCTCACGCCTGTAATCCTAGCACTCTGGAAGGCTAAGGTGGGTGGATTGTTTGAGCTCAGGAGTTCGAGACCAGCCTGAGCAAGAGTGAGACCCCCGTCTCTACCAAAAATAGAAAGAAATTAACTGGACAGCTAAAAATATATATAGAAAAAATTGGCTGGGCATGGTGGCGCATGCCTGTAGTCCCAGCTACTCGGGAGGCTGAGGCAGGAGGATCGCTTGAGCCCAGGAGTTTGAGGTTGCTGTGAGGTATGAAGATGCCACAGCACTCTAGCCCGGGCAATAGAACAAGACCCTGTCTCCAAAAAAAAAAAAAAAAAAAGGAAAATGATAAAACCACAGATTTAATGTTAAGTACTAAGACAATTATACAAATCAAAAATGATACAGAATTTTTTAAATTATGCAGTTTTAAGCTTACGTATTTAAAAATATGAGTAAACCTATTTCCCTCATTTGCCAAAATTGATATCAAATAGACTCATTGATTTTTTAGGAAATTTGTAAGTATGAAGTTGAAAATTTTTCTTCATGTTTGCCAATTTGAAAAACATCCTATTTAACAGTTTGTGCCTGTGTCTGTGAGTGCCTGTGTCTGCGTGTTGTGTTTCTGTGCATGTGAAATGTGTCTGTCTAATTGTGCTGATGGAGCTAAGTGTGACCACCACATAGAGCAATGAAGAAAGATCTGTGTTTCACTATGTAAGAAAAAATATCTAGTTTTTTTAAAAAAGAGAAAATCTCTATTTACTTACTTTCTCATGAAGGGTTCCTTCAGAAGGAGCCATGAGGTATGAAAAGGGTGTTATTTCTAGGCAGTGTTTCCAAAAGTGTAGTAGGGTAGATAATTTTATGTGGCATATGAATAAACATTTTTATTTGAATAATTATGCATTTATTTTTATCATTCCTCCCCACTCTCTCCCTTCAACACTCACAGCCTTGGTACTGCTGTCTGCCTTGGATCACTGGTTTTATTCACAGCATCTATTTGGGTCCTCAAGTCTATCACCACCAGCCCAGGCCCTGCAGGCCATATCTCGCTGCCTACTCCCCACACGACTCCCCACATGACTCTCTGCATCATCCTTTCTGACCCCATCACCCTACCCTCCCTAACTGGAGGAACCCTTACCTGTGCCCTATGCAACTCACAATAAATCATCAGCCCAAACTCAATCTAGAGAAGCAGGACTAGCTGTCTTTTCAATAAAGCAAAGCCATTTCCTGTTAACCAGGAGTTATAGGTGAGAATGAATGGCTCGCTTTCTATTTCAATTATTTATTGCTATGTAACAAATTTTCCCAAATTTAGTGCCTTAAAACAACAACCACTTTGCTTTCCAGCTTCTGTGGATTGATAGCTCAGCCAGCAGTTCTGGTCTCACTTGGTGTTTTTCAAAGGGTGGCTGGAGCTAGAGGTATCTGGAGGCTGTACCAGGAGGCGGGCAGGCCAAGCCACCTCCCTCTCCATGCAGGGCACATGGTCTCTCTGTGTGGTAGTTTGGGGGTCCCAAAAAAGACGGAGAATGGAAACCTCCAGAACTTCTTAAGGCATAGGCCTGGAGCTGGCACAGTACCACCTCTGCCACCTTCTATTCATTAAGCTGTCCCAAAGCCAACCTGTATTCAAAGAGAGAGGAAATAAATTCCACCTGGGGGGAGGACAAAGAATTTGCAGTCATCTTTAATCCACTCCAGTTTCTCAAACAGGAGAGATCTTTTTAGTTTACTGTGCAAAACAAACACTTGGGGAGCTTCAAAATCTATTTACTATTCTTTGGGATAAACTTAAGTTCCTTGGATAGGAAAGGTGTGATATTTCCCTAAAACAGTACAATGTTGAGGTTAAGAGCTGGTTCAGAGAGACTGTACGTGATAATAAAATTATGTACACATAAAGGAGCTAGGCTTGGCAGGGTCAGTGTCAGGGCCTCGGAGGTGACCCCCAATCCCCACAGACTGTGAGTTCCTTCAGCAGTGATTTTTGTCTTACCCTTATATATGTAACAGGCACTCAACACAAGAGCAAGGAGTGGGCAGAGCACGCTCAACTATAAGAATACCAAGCACGAAGTCATCATGCCTCCATGTCTACTCGTGGAGACCAAGCTAAAGGTCCCCACCTGCCACCACCAAGAAAGCAGAACCTGTTGTTTTGTCCAAAATCAAAACTGCACTTCCACAAAGGAGAGGTTTCAAAGATTATGCAAGAATGTCAAGAAGAAAGTTTCCGGAAGAGAGGTTTGCCTTTTTCTCTTGTAAGCCTGCTTGTCACCCAGGACTAGTCCACCAAGGTTATTTAGCAGCTAATCCAAGATTTGGATCGTTGCCTAAAGTTGCACTTGCTGGTATCTTGGGATTTGGCCTTGGAAAGATATCATACATAAGAGTGTGCCAGAGTAAATTCCATTTCTTTGGAGATCAGCTCCATGGAGCTGGTTTGGGTCCAGAGCATAACAGGGGCTGCCTGCTTACCTGTGAGGAATGCAAAATAAAGCATGGATTAAGTGAGAAAGGAGGTTCACAGCCTTCGGCTTCCTTAACTCTGTGTCTGTGGCTTTTGAAGTTTTTAAACCTCTGAATTTGTATAAGTTTAAAATTTCAAGCGTACTTTAAAATACTTATAGTGGAAGAGAAAAAGAACTTTATTTTCTAATCAGTAGATGGGTTTCTATCCACAATTTTAAAAGTTAAACAACAGTGGCACATGCCTATAGTCCCTGCTACTGGGGAGGCTGAAGTCAGAGTATGGCTTGAGGCTAGGAGTTTGAAATCAGCCTGGGCAACATAGCAAGACATATATTCCCCAACCTCTAAAAAATAAAAAATTTTAAAGTTAAAAAATAAATTATAATTTGCAAGGAATATCAAGAAATCAGTTATAAATTTGTCCGGTCCAAAAGAATCTAAGAAAATAAAAGACATAGTGTAAATTAACTTAGCATGGGAACCGTTCTTGCTTTAACTTAATCTCACCACCCTCTGCAAAATTTCCCAGAGTAATAGGACCCTTTCAGGATACAGGCCTCTATTTCTGTTCATTTCACAATTATTATTCCTCTCCTCCTTTTCATTTAAATGTATAAACTTATTTAAGATAATTAAAGTCACTCTACAGGAGGGAAGCAGTGGTGTAAACAGTGCAAAAATAACATTCAATTTGGTAAATATATTTGTACTTTGAATGGCTACGTGAGGATGTTTTCAAATCAAATCTTTTCACTGCGTAGGGAAAATTGCCTATTTTTTGCAGTTCTACCTATGCTAGAAGCAGATGCTGAAAGATTTGCCTTCCCTCTGGCAAATTCTGTGACTTGTCTGGAACTGGGGTCGATAAATGTTTGGGTTCAAAGGGCTTTTCTCTTTGCAAAGTAAACAGAAGGAATGGAGACACGATGAGTGCAAGTAATTAAGTAGGAATATATTGTCAACGAACCGGAATTTGCAGATTTGCTGAGCATTGTTTACCCCGTGTCCTCATTCGATGATGGTATTTGTTAATGTACGTTCAATGTGCAGCATTGAGATAAACAGACTGAAAAACAGTCTGACGGTTATTTAATGGGAGGTGGGAGTTCCATCAGCCCAGACATTCATGTGTAACAACACTATAGGAGTTCTTTACATCAGAGCTTTATAAAGATAACACAAGGATCAACTGATGTGGTAATGACTGATTGACCCTACGTTGCAGAATAAGAACTCCCTGCCTTTTACGGATTAGTACCTGCCTGCAAATATGTTAATTTCCAATCCGTCTTTACTCTCCTAAAAATCTTAGCCAGGTGTGTGACAGAGTAATTCCCATCCCTCACCGGAGCCTTCTTCCCATTTTATCCAACTTTGGCCCCTCCAGGGGAACCCGCTCCACGGGAGTCCTGGAAAGGTAGCGTTCTTAGTTCAGTTTAGGACAGCTGACTTCAGGGAGGAAACTCTCCCAGACTTTGATAGTCCTAGGAGAGAAATGCAAATTCCTGCCCCTCATCTCTTTTTCAGGGGAGTCGCTTCCTGTTTGCACGGGGCTCTGCGGGATCGACCTGCGCGACCGTCCTGAAACTGCCCTGCTGCGCAGACGGGAGCCGGATTTTCCTTTCTCCTGTAGCAGAACTGGAGGGCTCGGCTGAAATGAGATTTCCCCAATGGGCAGGAACACGGATGCCCCGCTGTTGGGGTGCGATCCAGCCTCCCCCATCCCGCCCCCACCGCTCCGCAAGGCCCGGAGCCCCAGAGCAAGCCCGCATGGGCGGCCGCCCCCGCGCCCGGCCGCAAGGTCGCGCAGGGCAGAGCTGTCACTGTGTAACGCGGCACCCGCCTCGCGCAGCGCCTGTCCTCCTGCGACCGCGCTTTGTAGGTAACCACTGCGTGCCACAGGGGAAAAAATGAGAACGCGTACGCCGGCCAAGGCAAACGAAAGGCCTCTAAAAACAAAAACCTAAACGGCCCCCCTAAGGAAGTAGCCTGGAAGTTTCCAAGTAGCCTGGGGGTGGGGGAGGTCTTGACGCGCTGAGCAAATATCGAGCGTGGTTTCAGGTAACAAATGAAAGAGCAAAATACGAGGCAATTTTCCTAAATGAGCTAATTACTAAAATCCATTTATGAAAAGGATTTGAGATTTAAACTAAGATTAACACTGAAGTTACTTAAAAAGGATAGTGGGAATGGAAATGGACAAGAGCTATGAAGCCTCAAAACCAGAGGGAGTGCACCAAGGCAGGGGCCGTTTTATATGCTGCATCCTGTTCTAAATAAAACTTAAGTTTTGCAAGAAAATATATTTTCGACTTCAAATTTTGTTTGGCATAATAGAATACCCCCGTCCCCAATACTGTTATTACCCATTAGGAAACTTCTGTATGCAATCACTTCTCATATGTAAGGTGAGATAATGCCATCTGAGAATATTACGCTTTTAACACATTGACTGCCACACTAGAAACAAATTTTTTCCCTTGGGGCCTCGGTGTTTTATTAGGAACATAGAATAAAAACTTCTAAAACAAAACAATCCTTTCTAATATAATGAAAAATTTATTTTTATTGTTTTCTGTGCGTGAGATGTATGCAATTAAATTGTCAGTATTAATGGTAACAGTAAGAACATCAACAGATAAGATTTTCGCGAACCAACTGCAGTTGCATATGCTTCACTAGGCCCTGGGCTCAAAACTAGCGTGAGTTAAATACAATTCACGTGGCAGTTAATGTGTTAAAAAAGTAACGCTAAATCACTAGGAGAAGGAGGCCTGGATAGAAAATCAACATGTCTTTAGGGTAACTGAATGTACTTCGGAAGGCTTTGCTAAAGTACCTGTGTGCTTGGCTTACACTGTCATTTTCTGAGGGTTTCTAGAAGCCGAGCGGTTCGCTGGGGCGGTCCGCCTGTCGTTGGTCAGCGATCATCCCCAGGCTCTGCGCGCTGAGGACTGACTCAGCAGCGCTTGCGGCCTCCTTCTCTAGATTTATGACGATGCATTCTTCCGTGCAAGTATTTGTACATTGTTTTCTCTCATCATTGACTTTTACCTATTGTTGTTCTGCAGATAAATACAAGATGATAAGGAGACACTAATTTTACTTTTTCCCCTTTTATTTTTGTACTGAGCTCTTTTGTTTGTTGTACTAATACAATGCTAAGTGATAGCATTGCTATTTTGACAAGGTCAAGTTTAAGCAATTATCCAACATTTTGCATTATATTTTGTTAAATAAGAGCATTAAGGCAAAAATCTAGTTTTAAAAAGGAAAAGAAACCCTCCAGTGTGCATGTAGTTATGTGTGTATATACTATATGTGTGTGTGTGTAGGATAAAGTGTATGCAAACAGGTCTTCTTTGACTGTTAGACTACCGATGTTTACGCTAGTCATATATCACGATCAAGTTACATGCAGTGCCCTAAAAAGGTAAAAAACACAATTGTAAAATTCTCCAAATTTCCAAAGTTTCATCCATTATGCCTGTAAGAAAACTCCCTGTTTATTTCTGGACTCTGTAACAAATGCTTTCAACTGCTCTTCCATACTGCATAGTGAGATATCTTTGTAATAAGCACATCAGTAGAAATTATGTCTTTGGTTTTGCAGTTCAAATACAACAGTCAGCCTCCTAGCATCTAAAACAAAGTTGCAAATAAAAGTTAGAGCCCTGAACAATTTAGAGAAGCATGAGAACAATTTAGCTTCCCTAAAGCTTGTTCTGTGGATAGCAGTGAGAACCTGTATGAAAGTTGGTATTTAAAAACAAAAAAAAAGGTGAGATTCTTTGTTAAAAACATTTGGGGAAACATCTTATATCCTCCCTGTTGGAGATTCACAACATACATTAACATATTAAAGACACTTAAATTTATGCTTAATTGATTTTCAACAAAGGTGCCAGGCAATTCAATAGGGAAAGGATAGTCTTTTCAACAAATGGTGCTAGGGCAATTGGATAGCCACATACAAAAAGATATATTTAGGCCGGGCGCGGTGGCTCACGCCTGTAGTCCTAGCACTCTGGGAGGCCGAGGCGGGCGGATTGTTTGAGCTCAGGAGTTCGAAACTAGCCTGAGCAAGAGCGAGACCCCGTCTCTACTAAAAATAGAAAGAAATTAATCGGACAACTAAAAATATATAGAAAAAATTAGCCGGGCATGGTGGCGCATGCCTGTAGTCCCAGCTACTCGGGAGGCTGAGGCAGAAGGATCACTTGAGCCCAGGAGTGTGAGGTTGCTGTGAGCTAGGCTGACGCCACGGCACTTACTCTAGGCCGGGCAACACAGTGAGCCTCTGTCTCAAAAAAAAAAAAAAAAAAAAAAGATATATTTAAACCCTTACCTCCCACATCATACTCAAAATTTAACTCCAAATGAATCATAGATCTAAATGTAAAAGCTAAAATTGTAAAACTTTTAGAGGAAAACACAGGAGTGAATCTTTGTGACCTTTGTAGATAGAACAAAAAAGCACAAGTATTAAAATAAATTGATAAATTGGACTTTGTCAAAGTTTATAACTTTTGCACTTCAAAAGACACCATAAAGGAAGTGAAAAGAAAACCACAGAGAAATATTTACGAATCATATCTGATTAAGGCCTTGTATCCAGAATACATAAGGAACTAATTTTACTTTTTCACTTTTTATTTTTGTAGCTAAGTTCTCTTGTAATTTAATAATAAAATTACCCAATTTAAAAATGGGCAAAAAATTTGAATAGACTTTAGGGCAAAGAAAATATATGAATGGTAGATAAACACATGAACAGATGCTCAACATTATTGGTCGTCAAGGAATGCAAATCAAAACCACAGTGAAATACCACTACACACCCAGAGATAGACGATGAAAAATGTTGACGAGGAAGTGGAGACATTGGAACTCTCATACACTGCTAATTGAAATGCAAATGGTGCCACCACTTTGGAAAACAGTTGAGAAATTTCTTGAAAAGTTCAACATAAATTTACCATATGATTCCCAATTCCATTCCTAAGTATATACCAAGAGAAATAAAAATGTATGTCCACGCTCAGAATTGTACATGAATGTTCATGGTAGAATTATTCACAGCAGCCAAAAAGTGGAAACAATCCAAATCCCCACAAACTGATGAGTGGATAAACAAAGTGTGGTATATCTATATGGAATATT